ACAACGCTCCAAGAAACGGAATTTGACCCTAAAGCTACATCTACCCCTTGAGATATGCTGGATATTGTTGCTCCTTTCGTGGGACGTTGTACGTATGTCACGACGCGCGGTGAGCCTTCGCAGCAAAATCCGCACTGTGATATCAATTATGGTTGATTGCCGAGCGGATGGCAGTGCATGGGCATGTACATACCTTGGTATGTACTGTCCTGATGTGCTCGATCAAATATCAGATTCATCTGATATCCCAATCAGATGAATGAGGAAATCAATGAATCAGATCAGATCAGATAACGATGTTCGATCAGAAGCTCCCAATGTCTGACTGCCACCCAGTCTGTCAGCCTCGTCTGCTTAACGAAGCTCGGGGCGGGACTGGCCGGGGCGGCGCCGGGTGGGGATTGGGGTGGGGGGCTAGCACCGGGCGGGGGTCCTCGGTGGAGGGGGAGGGGAGCCGGTGCCGGACAAACAGCCCAAGTCCAACCGAAATTCGCAGAAAACCGGGCGAAAACAGCCGTCCATGAATGTCACCCCGTTAGGCGACGCCAGCACATGAATAGGGGGAGGAGGCGACAGACGACACCGCCGGCTGGCCCGCCACATGGCCGGCTGGCGGGCCGGAGGTGTGGAGCAAACAGGGGGTTTTGGAGAAGGGAGGGGGGGGGGGGGAGCGCAAGAGGGCGCGCATTTTTGTCTGCTTCTTGTACGTATCTCATTTGGTTTTGGAAAAGATTGTCGTAGTTCATGCATTTTCGTGGATAACTTATGGCTGCGTATTCTACTTCAGGCTTTGCATTCCTGTCTGAGGAAATTCTGAGCAGGTCCCTGGCCACAACTGCGCATTATCACAGGACCAAAATGCATGGTTGGAGGCACATGCATGCCGGCGTCCCGGTTGATCACAACGCCATGGCCAGTTAGCTTCAAATCAACGAAAACCTTGACAGCATAAAACGCATCAGTTGCGACGTTTTTGTTCAGCTGCACAGTGCCAAGCTATAAAGCGTGTGACGCCTTATTGCGCTGCGTTGTTTCGTAATCGTCGGAGCAGTCAGACTGAGAATGGGCTCATGAGCACACAACATAACTCGTAAGATCAATCGAAATGTTGCTGGAAGGCTGCCATCCCTGAACTAGACAAAGGTCCGAGGTGAACCTCAGTGTCTATGTCCCGACTCGATCCTTTGTGAGCACGGCATTTCCAAAACCATACTGCTTGTCTCTTCGTTCTTTGTATTGGACAGCGCGTTTTGTGGACTTGGCAACAAACATCCTGTGGTGCGCCAAGATGTCAAAACGCACGAAGCAATTTTACATGCAACTTAGTTGGATGCAGTGATGTAACAAGTCCCATGGGCAGCCACCTTAGAGAGGGGTGCAGTTTTCCATTCCTTTGGACGGGGAGGCTCCACCTCCCGAACTTTGAGCAGAAAGTGGGCCAACTCTGGCGGAGAACACGTTTATTGGAGCATTTTTAAGGTAGGTTGCGTAATTTTTCACTAGTCAGCGGATATGCGGTAACTGCACTGACCGAGGAGGTTTATGCAGCTTTTCATGGCTAAGATGGCGATGACCTGAGGTCACCAGCTGCAAAGCGTCTGATGAAATCTTGGTAGCTCTATCTACCTATCGACACCGATTTCTAGCAGAATGCCTTTCCAGTTTCCACACTTGGACTCGGCGGCGGTGCCAGGAAGCGGCTTATGCGGTTTTTAAGATGAAGGTGGTGACCTGCGGTTTCTTATTTCAGATTGGCTAATGCAATCGTACTCCACCGAGTCTCCAGTGGTAAAGAGACCTCATGGGGATCGCTTAGCTCGCTTCCATGTTTGGACTTCGTTCCGATACTCCGAAGTGGTTTACGCATACTTTAAGATAATTGCGGTGACCTCAGGTCACCGGGGTGCCGATCGTATAGTGGGTACGGCGCCTGCGCGGCTGGGAAACCAGGGGTACGTGGTTTGATTTCCCGCGATGTCTGCCGTTCTTGCCAGGGTGAGAGGCAGGAGACAAGGTATACCTCAGCAACCCAATGGGCTGTAGTCACAATGACGATCTGGGGTCACCAGTTTCAGAACAGCTCAATCAATTGTGGGTCCTCTTTTTGTTTTTTAAACATCAATTCAGCGGTTTCTGAATTTGGACCTGGCCACAATATCCCGAAGTGGTTGATGTGATCCTCGAAAATAAATAGGGTGACCTAAGGCCGCCAGTCTAAGACCGCGAAGAAAATCCTAACTACTCTATGCATTGGGGAAGACTTCGAGGTAATCTCTTCAGTGGTTTTCGAGTTGGGATGGGCTGCGATGTCCCAAAGTGGCTTCTGCTGTCTTTCTAGGTGAAAACCGCGGGCCGAGGCCGCCAGTGTCGGAACGGTTGGCGAAATTTGTCGGCAATCTTCCTCTTTGTAGATGTTTCCCGGGATCACTGGAGTGGTTTCCAAGTTTGAATCTGGCTGCAATGTTTACAAATGGCTTATGCGGTCTTCTAAAGGTGAGGATGGCAGCCACGGATCACCATTTCCTGAAAGGTTAAAGTTAAACTTTGCTCCGATGCCCCGTTGGGGTTTAGACGGTTTTTGAAGGTGGAGGTGGCGATCTGATATCATCAGTTTCACAACTGGTTCACTCGTAGATGCCCGATTACCCGGCAAAGCCTTTGATGAAATCGGTAGAGCGGTTGCCAAGTTTGAACTTAGCTACATCGCCCCAAACTAGTTTGTGGTTTTTAAAGGCGAACTGATGAGATGAGATCCCGAGTTCAGGACAGCGAATGAAATCGTCGATGCTCTGTCCATTGGTGAAGGCTTTAAGGAGATAGGTGGAAGTGTTTCCGACGTTGGACTTGACTGCAAAGCCCCAAAGTGGCTTTTACGATTTTTGAAGGTAACCATGGTGACCCGGGGTCACCATGATTCGGCAACGAGGTAGCGTGATTCCCTCGATATTGCCATTTGACCATTGTTGCTCATCTGGCAAGCTGCTTGTAGCATCTTCCTATGCGGTATCAACAACTAACAAAGCTGCAAAAATCCCAAACGTTAATTACCAAAGTGTAACCACCACTGGACATCTAAAATGCATGGCACCGACCGGGCGCAGCAAGACGCACTGAAAAAGACCCAACAAGAAGCCGTGCGCCTTGTTCCGGCCAGACGGCTGGCGTCCGGCCGGCCTGGCACGCGCCCCCTCCCCGGCAGCGGGTGGGAGGGGAGTCTAGCGCCCCGGGCCACACTCCCGGGGGAGGGGGGGGGGGAGACACGAGACGGGCCTGCGTCTAAGCCGACATGGCAAGGGCGCGTTCGGCGAGTCTGGGCTACAGGCCCGGCCAGCCATACTGCATCTTGAATTTACTAGTTGGTAAGAGGATCGAAGAGGATCGAAATTTAGGAATGTAGCTGTTTGTCAACATGATTTGTTCATGCTGTCGCGTGGCGGTCAAAGTAAATCGCGCTGCCACACTGCGATTGCTAGTGAATTTAACTAGTCGGGAAACGCGCAGTTAACACGAACGCGTCGTAGCACGCTCGTACTTCGAACCGGATCGCGTCACTGGCTCTCGCAGTTGTGCGCCACATATCTATCAATAAAATAACTGACGCTTGCTCCTAAGCTGCGAAGCGGCTCCTCCGTCTGCATCCACTTATATTCAAATGTCATGCACCCATGTGGCTGACATTGTGGAACCAATCAGGCAATCAGGTGCCTTGCCAGCGTCGCTTCTTGTCACAACACGTGGCCCGGCCGGGGCATGTGTATTTGCACTGACGATATCAAAGAGGGGACCAACGTCGCTATATTGTCTCGTCGCCAGCGTCAGGTATCTTGCCATAAGGAGACAATGACTGTGTCGCATAAGATCCGCCGTCAGCTTTTTCTGACGCCGGATAGCAGGAAGGTCAGGTAGACCGTTTGATGGACAGGATGAGTACAACACGATAAGAGTAAGTCCAGTAAGGCTTTCGCAATTATGTTCTGCACTGGGACAAGCCAACAAGAGCCGAGTTTATTGAGCGCTGGAGTCGTTTTGTGGTTCCTGAGAGACAGCCGCTGTGCTGGTCACGAAGTGGACTTTTGGGCTATGGCGCGCGCTCGGGTCGGGTCGGGGCTAACTTCTCTCTCGCGTAACCCACTTAGAATTTGGAATTCCGGCTCACGTATGAGCGGGCGACTCCCCACGTCTAGAATCACCCAGATATTGCATTCTAATAACACCACCTGACGCTTATTCACGCCGTGGCTTAAGGACGGTGTAGAAACCCTATCTGTCTCTACTCCTTCCGCTTACTGGTAACCAGACGAGCCGCCAGCAGACTTTCCGCCCGCTGTTCAGCTCTGCAACGCTTCTATTCGCAGCTGCCCATCCCACCGTATTCCGGGCATTTGGAACTGCTTCATTCGGTCCTGTCGAGCATAGCGCTCCCGCAGCCTCCCGCTTATAAATACGCAGAGCTGTAGAGATTTTAGTAATAGTGGCATTTGCTGAGCTTCCCACTTAGTGTCTTTATCTTTGCCAAGCGTATGCGCAGTTGGCAAACATATTACGTTCATTACCACACCCGGTGCATTTGCTCATTGTTCTACGCCCGCAAGCTTCAAAAGCTGGTATACACACACACACACACACACACACACACACACACACACAATGTATATATATATATATATATATATATATATATATATATATATATATATATATAGCATATCGGTACGCGTTCGTTGCCGCGTTTCCTCTCGATCTGGCATCCATTAGCACAAGAACACACATCAAAACTCACATCAAAATATACGTTTTTTCTACACCCTGCCATCGCCGCCCAGCTAAATTTCGCAACAAGATATCGTTCTTCTTGAAAAAGCCCACCACTGGTAGGCTTTCTGGTGGTTTGCTGGTGGGTGGGCTATGGTAAGCCCACGCAATGCGCGAAAAAATGTGGTAGTTACACATGTTCGGGCTGAAGTCCTCCATACGCGACAATGTCAACAGTCCATCCGAGCTGCGACTGTATTGGATCTCAGATTATCTACACTTATACGCAAACGTCACAGGATTACACCCATACATGCTGGCGCTCGCTCCGGCGGCGTCGCCTGACACCGCACGCGGCGCGCCGCACTTCGATCGGGCGGCGCGTCCGTGTGCGCACCGGACCCCAATCGGGCGGCACGTCCGTCTGCGCGCCGGACGGACGCACCCGCTGTGTGCGGCCGTCCACCACCGGCCACCTATGCCTTGATCGCCACGCGGACCGGGGTGCGACGGCGAGGCGTCGTCCGATGCCGCCGCTTCGTCGGGATAAGCCGCAGCAGCGCGGCACGCCCGCGGTAGGGAACGAAACCAAAGTTCACTGGTGTGCCGTCAGATGGCAGACCACTCCGCGGCAACTCCCGGGACAGAGTAAGGTTAACACGTTACGACCCGTGATAAGATGTATGCACAAGACTACCAGCAAAACAGGAAATCAACTATATATATATATATATATATATATATATATATATGTATATATATAAATATATTCATAGAACATCTTTAATTTTCAAGGTTCAAAGTTTTCCCTACGTTCCCCATCTGTTTTGCTCATGGTACACAGTTAACTATCTAGGAACGTCGAAAGTGCGCACACGTTTGTCGTGCGGTGCTAAGAGTGAAGATCAGAGCAAGAGTAATGCCCGATAAGACGAGAATGCACGCAGAGCTCGAAACGTCCCGAGGCCGCAGAGGCCAATGAACACCCAACATGCATCCACTAGGACAAGGTGTTAGCTGAAGGAACTGAGTTGGTGGTAGTCTCAAAACTCAAAGCAGTATAATCGGGACAACAGCCACGGGCACAAGGACCGACCACGGTTGACGCAAGCTCGGCAGACAGGCCGATGCCGAAATGCCGAGGGGCTGTAGTATATGCAGTCACGGTCATGGGGCAAAGAACAGGCGGATATCCTGGGAGCACATCGCCACTTAGCGGAGTCAGAGGCGAGACAAAGCCGCAGTCGTTCCCCACAGTGTCAACGGACAACTGTGCACACCTCGAAAAAAACGATATATCACAAAACAACGGGCTACTGCGGACGCCGCGCAGAAAGTGGGTTTCCTGGGGTGGCGACGGCCGAAAGGGACTGCTTCATGGGCCTGTCATTCGGAACCAAACACACGATCACAGCATAACACCAGGCAAACAGCTTTGCGGTCACATCGAAGAACAAGAAACATGGATTATTACAGTTTTTCCCCTATGGATGGTCAAATACTGAGATACCTCAGCTAAATACTGAATGGGTGGTCAGACGCCTGGACTGGGAGACGCTTGTATGATTGAGACGGCATATCTCCGGAACCAACGGCAATGAAGCTGACCAATGCATTTTCTCCGACCAAATGCGCGTGATATCTTTGCTGTTCTCATTTGGTACCTTTCAGCGGACTTAACTTGAACTGATGAGATACACCCAATCCCACAACTGAGAACCTCGCGCAGCTTGCCTTAACAATCAACAGCCACTGAAGGATGCATCATGCACGCATCCGCAAGGATGAAGCCCACGGGTTTCTAAACGGTTGACGAGTGCAACTGCCTGATAAGCAGATTGACACCGACGCACGTGAATATTATGGGGGCTCGGGACGTCGTGAAAACACAGAAAATCTTCCCATAAGGGTTTACAATCACATTACACAAAGAAAGAAGGCCCGAATAAGATAACAAATAGACCTAGTTAGCATATTTCACAAAATATATTTCCACCCGGTTGCCCTTGATCCAACATTCCCAATCACCCGCTACGCCACCGCAGACCAATCGACGGCAGCGCCACCACGTGGACGAGCCAGTATAGATGACGCGGCGGTCGCCAGCCGAGCCGCGCGACCCGCTGCGTCCGCGGTCGTCGCCGAGGCGGCCGGCCGCGGCGTCCGGGGCGAAGTCGGCCGCCGCAGGAGCGCCCGGGGCCGTTTCGCAGGTGCGCAGGGAGATCGGACGACCGGGGCCGACGGGACGGGCGTGGCCGCAGGTGACATGCGGGTCGCGACCGCACCTCACTGCTGGCCGGCGTAGCCTGTCGGGACCACGCACGTCGCGTCACGCGCTGTCCAGATGAGGCGACAGGGAAAGAGGAAAAGGATCATGTAAGTCGTTACAATCTATCACAAAGGACATCATCATCCACAAAGCAGTATCTTCCCCCTCATCCCGTCATATCGCTGTCCACTGCTGAGGGTGGCACGCTAGACGTAATGTAAAAACGAGCGTGTTGCAGACGCGATGACAGCGACGTGCAAATTGGTTTGATGTTACACAGCGTCGTAGGGTAAGACATGACAGACGAATTACTAGAAGGGCCGATGACTCTCACTAATATACAACAGGAAGATGTTAAGCTCGAAACATTATTTTGGGCGTCTCCCAAAGACAGCAGTAGCGTCAAATAAATGGTTAAACGTACTAAGACTGCAAACAAGACGCTTTAGGTGATAGCCGAAAGCAGCTTAAATCTAAGGGTAGAAAGTGTTGCGTGCTGCTGTTTGTTTCCGACAGTAACACCACGATGAACATTATAAGTGGTTTGAAATCTAGATGGAACGCAACACATTCGTCCTTAAGTCTAAGGAAACAAGAGGACTCACCACTCAATCAACGCTTTATGCTAGAGCCAGGTTTGATCAAAGATATAAGGATAGATGGCAAAACCGAAAAACCGAACCAGTGAAGAAGGCATCAGTTACGACGGACACAAATGTCACGTAATTATCCATCCAAAGACCTGGACGACTAAATTTCATAGCGCCGTTCAGCTCAACACGAGCAAACTTATATTAAACAGCGAGAGGAAGGAGGAGGGCAGAGATCTTGCCGAGTCCAACGACATGAGAGGGCGGGAGACCCAGTAAGTTCCCACTCTCTGTCGTAACAAAATCACGACTTACGAACAACCAAGCGGAACAAATATCCAACAAACAAAAAACGAAAAAACAAAAACAAAAGCACTGACATCAGTAACAGCGAAGCAGGAATGTGAGGACTAAAACAGAAAAAGGAAGAACAAATCAAAACGATGGCTTACGCTGGCAGTAGCGGCTATGGGCTGGCACCAGACCTAGGGGAAATGTGACTGAACTCCCGCCTGTGTCATGCCTGCAAAACAAAGGAAACGGCAAGGGTCATCACACGTGTTTCTGAGAGATCGTGGATCATGCGCGGGAGGGGTGACGGGTTTCGGAACGCAATGATCCAGGATTATTTAGGACGAACGTAGACACAGTGGGGGAGGGAGATCAGGGTATAGCGGAATACCGACCTTCATACCTGATCCTAGGTCAGTGAAATTTGTTCATTCAATTGTTGTGTTGCCTAAGAAACTACCTAAGAGATGCATGATTTCGTCTCACAGTCCTTGTTACATCAGAGTCAATGAATCCCTAGAAGTTGTCTTCGCTGAATCGATGACCTGACTTTGACCTGTCGTAGGTCAGCGACCCTTCCAGGTACATCACATTTTTTTATATCAATCAGTCCGATTTTCAATTGTCTACAGCTACGCAAAACTTTGCTTTACCCGAAAGTTTTACGAGGGGGAGGGCAAATTGACTCCCACGCGTGTTACAAGCGATTTCACTATGCTTTTCATTATTTGGTAATCATGGCAACGCAGACGATGAAGCGAAACCTTTTCTGTCTTACTAGTGAAAGGAAACATTTTATGTCTTACTAGTAAAAACGAAACCTTTCGTGACTAAAGTAATGAAATGATTGGCTTCTTTAGAAGCGTTTTTCATTGATAGAACACTAATGAAAAGCTCCCCAAACAAATTTTTCACACAAGGGAACGATATAATCCTCGCAAACCAATTTTCATTCCCGACATATGCAGAACAGAGACAGGCATCGCCGCTTGCCGAGTTAAAGTGACGTCACAGTAACAATACAGCCGTTGGTATCGCCGCATTTCGGTATACTGCAAAGTTGAGAGTATTGCTATCCCTGTACGGAGGCTGGGTTTAAATCCTTAACTTGTCAAAAGTAACGCCGCGTGACCAGGAAGCGCCCGGCAAAAACAAAACGTAGTTATTTTCTTTATTTCTATGACATAATAATAATAAATAATAGTAATCTCCAAACTTATTTCATATGTTGAGGGAAAAATCTTGCTTTGCGCATATTTAGCAAAAAACTTATTAGTAAATGCGTACTACCACTTCAATCTCGGAGCACACAACATTGAAGGATGTACGAACATACTGTATGCACAAGGCCTTTGATTCATTCATCGAGGTAAGTCTGGACCTGGAATATAACACATAGCAATAGATATATGGAGTAAAACTGACCTCATGTTAAAACATTGAGTTTTGAGTTATTTTGCTGACAGTTACCATATCCCATTGTGCCAGCAAATACTGGTTAAGCGACATTGTCAAGAAATATTGGTTAAATTGCCGATACCCGACGCTGCAAACTTTGCTTATGATCGCAAATGAACATAGACAATTAAATTGAAAACATAAGTCGCGAGAACCCAGGAAATGTTACCAGTCTTTGCAAGCTCTGACACTAAAAAGATGCGCAGGTTCATATGCCTTTGTTTCTAAATGTATTTTTTGGTTAACCTTGTCCACTCGTAACCATAAACACAGCTTGAAACGCCGGCTATCGACAACGCAGTTAATGTTTGCTGGATAGCGCCGTTCAACCAGCTCCTCTTGGTTTATTGAAGAAAGATGGCTGCCAGAATAAAAAAGAACTCTGAACTCATTATATCTAAAACCGGGACACCAAGGTCTTTCTGGCTCACTAGACAAACTCACATTACAGGTCTATATGCTTTCAAGATGCGACTTCCAAACGAACCAAACCGCTGGTTTCGCTTTCGAGATCCCGCCTTCAAATGCTCCTGCTTGGGCCTCAGGGTGTCTTACTTGGCTGCATGTAACAGACATATCCACGCCACTTGGGCTACCTGAGGCCGGCACCGCGCGGGCCGCATCATGAATCATGCATCATGCACACACACCACACACCACACACTGCATGACAGGGGTCGATATCTGCGACAAGCGATCGCTGCTTCCACGCGTGTGAACATCACGCTAATCACATAAACCGCTGTGTCACAGTTGAATGCTTTACACGGCTGAATGCACAGGATGCACGGTCGCTTCACGCTTGCCTCTGTTGGTATGTCCAGTGTCTGACCCGCGGTCACCAGAGACTGACCACAGGAGCTGACGCACAGCTGACCAAACAGGGTAGTCTCCTCAGCCACTACACCGCTTTTCAGCTCAGCCTTGAAACCGACTCACATGCCCTGGCCTGGCTCGCAGGTGATTTGTTTGACGGTCGTAAACCCTCTTCCCCACTATTCGCCTGCACACAACTAAAGCGCTATGGGGCCTTATATTTCTCTCCTCTTACCTGTAGACGCACTCCGTTTGGGGCCAAATTCTCTAACCCTTCACTCGGCGCCTAGCTCTCTATTCTGCCCCCCAAAGCGACGTTTCCGTCCCCTCACCTCGCGCGTGCTGCGCCTGCTGCAGTCGCAAGAGCCCGTCCTCAGCTCTCACCTTGCTCGCGGCCCTTCCGCGCCGCACACAGGCCAGCCGCCGCGCCGTCCGTCCTCTCACCTGGCGTGTAGGTGGTCTGCTCGCTGGTCTTGAGACCGGTGCTCTCCGTGGCCGGCGGCGGGGCCGGCATCGCGAACGGGTTGTTGGGGTTGGTCGACTGGTGCGGCTGGCTCTGGTTGGCCGCCGGCGGCGGGGGCATGGCGAACGCCAGCGGCTGGCTGGTGACCGGCTGGTCGGCGCCGTCGTCCGGCGGGCTGCCCGCCTCGAGGTCCAGCTCATCGTCGCCCTGGTGGCGCGGGCGGGTGTCGGCGTCATCGACGGCGGAACACGCCCGATGCAGAGCCCTCGCCGGGTCGGGGTAAGCTCGCTTGGTCAAGACCCAGGACATCAAACGCCTCCTTAAGAGAAGAGGAGCTCGAGTTCAATGCCCCCTTAGGGTCAGCGGGCCTAGTGATTACGAAAAATTACAGGATTGGGCTCTAGCGATTTACTCTCCAGAGAGCCGGGACAAATGCTTTCTCCGGAACAGGCGATCCTCGTCACACGGGGTAGCACACAAAATACGCAGCAACGTACCCATCTTTCCTTCCCAAAGCGCAGAAATACCGAGCACTGGACTGAAAACGCGAAGACCGATTTATACACGAGTCGGCCTTTCTCTCAAACGCCTGCAATTCTACCGTCGCCCCTGAAAGGAACACGTTCTCGCATGACAAATTTTTGCACTCCTCCTGCCAAAGCAAGCATCGCCCAAAACGACACGGCAGCAGCTGCACGCTGCCTCCAGCGCTCAAGGGGCGCACTACGCGGAAACTTCCGCTCAGCACTCGTACCTTCTGGAAGCCGGAGGAGGACGGCTGGTCGACGACCACCTGCGGCCCGTCCGGCTAACAGGGCAAGGCGGAGAACGGTTCAGTCAAGCTAGCAGGCGCCAGGCAGCCCAGCCGAACTACAGACGGGTGCCAAGTTGCACCACGCGATAGCGGTAACTAAATGTTGATGCGAAACAACAGTCAGGCGAATGTACGACACCGAGAGAACGTTCAGCACTACGCCATACGGGGAATGCATGATATTGGAATGCACCAGGAGTCCGATCGAACCACTTGCACTGCGGCTGTGGAGAAGTGGATTTAACGAGTGCTTCTCCGGGATTACCAGGCGGGGACAACAAATATGCATGCTCACGTTTACGATAGTAATAAATTCAGAGAATGGTGTCCACAAGAAATGGGATAAAACAGGCACCCGGATCGTAACACAAAAGCGTTGCAGCGGCAACTGAAAACGACCGAAAAAGAAGCAGGATTTGCAGCAAGCAACGAAAAAAGTATGCCCCAGCAAGCAAACAAGCTCATCAGGAAGCACAAAGATGGCATCCCGAGAATAACCATCTATAACAACACTTAACGTCCACGTCAACTTGCCACAGACCCCTCCGCGATACACGGAAGACCCCGCGGCTCACCGCCCACGCGCGTCGCCCACTCACGTCCAGGTTGTGGTAGGCGCCCGTCTCGTCGGGCGGCGCCGGCTTGCACTTGCCGCAGCAGAAGTTGCAGCAGCAGCAAAAGCAGCAGCAGAGGTAGCAGCCAGTGATGATGCCGCAGAAGACGAAGAGCGCGCGGCACCAGCCGGACGTCACCAGGAAGTAGGTGTTGACGTTCTCCTCGCCGAACTGCTCGGCGATGTACAAGCCGAGGGAGCCGTAGTTGTCGTAGATGTTCCGCTTCACCGCATCACTCAGCGTCGAGTGCGCCCGATTGATCTCCTTGAACTGCGGCAGGGTGGCCGGTGCTAAGTGCATGGGGGAGGGGGGGGGACACCAGTTCATCACCATCAGTTCTTTTTCCATTGGGACAGGGTGGCTGGTGTTCAGTGGGATTGAGCACAACCCACAGTGGTAGCATGGGTGATACTCACTGGGTGTTGAACCACAAGCTTATGGCAGGGAAGGAGGTGTTTAGGAGGTACAAGGCAGGAATAAAAGACTTAAGTTCACAGCAACAAGTGGTAAATCATACACAACATGTGCCATGTTGTTCTGTTCAAATTGTGGTACAGCACAGCTTTAGTGGGGTAGCAATCTGCCCCATGCTTGTTCACTGCTCTGTAAGGTGGCCTGAAAACTTCATGTTATGAAATTAAATAGTTGAACTGCTATTGTAACAAAATGTCAATGGCTGTTTTACCTTTTCTGCTGCCTCAGGATTGTCAGGATTCTTGTCTGGATGATACTTCAAAGCTAACTTTCTGTAAGTTTTCTTAATTTCTTCTGGGGTGGCTGTTTTAGGCAAACCTAGGAGCTGATACAGTGAGTCTCCTTGAGTACTGAAACATGACATGCACATTCATCAATCTTTGATACAATATATACACCTTTTTAACACAGCACATTCATTCTCATCACATTGGCTCCTTATTTGGGCTTAAATAATGTCATTAACATATTTATTACAACAGATGTAATAATAATGGATGAGTCCTTTGTTCTGGGCTAAAGCTTGAGTCTGTGATGCGAAGAGACCTTAAATTTGCACGTCACACATTGACACATGCAAAGTCAGCAGTCCTGAACAGTAGGGACAGCAATGCCTGTACAGTGTACCAGGAGAAGCACTAATGGAACTTCCAATGCCACTCCTGCATGCTCACTTCTCAGACAGTTAGTGCTCCTTTAGCCAAAACTTGCATGCACACATAATATGACATGAGACCCTTAGTGCTGCAAGGGTTAAACCTGGAAGCAGGAGGTAAACATACCTGCCACACCAAGTGACATGAACCCTCACCGTAATCTTCAGCTGCGCTCTAATAATATGTTGATTACATGCTAGGTGTATGCATGAAATGCCCACAAACACAAAGTTATCTTTATGTGATTCATGAGGACATAGACCAAAACATGATGCCAAACAAAAGGGCTTGTGCAGTCATTAAGGACCACATGATGCATGTTTTAGATCACCATGGCTTGTGATAAATATTTGATCAATGTTAGAGATAAGATATCAATCTGCAAAAACATGTAGTCTTTGCTTACATAAATTACATTAAATGACCAATGGTCTCCCCAACATACAATATGCAACAAGCCTTAGTACCACAGATATCAATCAAAATAGCCTGCGAGTGACAGCATCGATGGGGGAGCCTAAAACCACTTCTATACAAAGTAATTTCTGGCAGTCTGATTATCTATCCATTTTGCATGAAAGGAATACTCCCCACAAAACAATTCTTTTCAGTCAAATCCATAGCCAGTGAGACATTTCCTTACTTTACTTGCTTTAAGCCATACCATTACTGAGCCTTTACTCTGGTCAAGTTTGGTTTCACTATGGCCCATTGGGAGTTGATCATACTATTCCAGTATAAACTTATGTCTCCACTGGATTGACACTGTCTCACTATAGCCTCAACTGAAGGAGAAGTACAACTTGCTGTCCTGAGTTTGCCAGAGCTGAAAATATTCCTTTCTGGATCACAACTTCTATCTGGTTTAAGAACACATCAGAATGAACTTTATTTCTGATTTTATTGACTTAATTATAAGATCATTATAAATAAATAGCTAGATATTGTTATATATATACATGTATATATATATACATATATATATATATATATATATATATATATATATATATATATATATATATATATATATATATATATATATATATTACCTTGCCATCCATATTGCAATATTTACTTTTTCCAACCTCTTAGATGCAGTAAAACTTTCCTTAAAGCATTTTGACTGCATTGAGAAATAAAAGCATGTTTAACAGATAATTGTGGATATGGTGTCAATGTTAGCACCTACATACAGTAACCATTTACTCTATTCCACATGAATGGTGTTAATGCAACCTAGCAGAATTTTCAGCCTAACAACACATGAAGAAGTAGTCAACTGAAATTTTGTATGCACAATGTTACACATAACTGACTAAAACATTGTTATTGTTACTGTCATACATAAGAATCTGAGCAACATAATATAAGCCTCTCCCCCCAAAGAAGGATCTGATTTCAATAGATAAATGATATGAGCCAGCAGATGAAACATTCTGAAAGTCTACCTTCCTTATTCTTGTCAGGCGAGTAACCACAAATTTTGTGCAGTTTGACGGAAAAAGGATGATTACTTACGACAATTTCCTTTTGTCCATTTTCTTCTACTGACTTGTTCGTTGACTGACTGACTCGGCACTGAAAAAACACTATCTCCGCCCTTTTAACGGTTGTACTTATCTAATGCAGGCAATAACTTATTCTAAATTTGAGGATTGTTCCTATAAGTCCCACCAATATGGACCACAAGATTGGAGGGCGGGGAAAGCCCGGGAGCACGCAGGGAGAACCGCCCAAACGCAATGAATCATTGTCGCTGCTTTGCGACTATTTGACACAAATACGCCAGAGATGTCGAAAAAAGAAGAATCCGCTAAACTACTGTCAGCTTATGCCGCGACAGCAATTTAGCATCTCCAGTTCATTCATTGGCCCTATGTTTGGTAGCTACAGAAGCACTGATGCGCAGAAGGCACCTGTTTTTTATTTGGTGCATTGTTAAACCGCAGACAATGGGTGTCGATTTCTGAACATGATTTGAGTACCAAAGTCATAGAAGTTCCCAAAAGGGAACCGGTACGAAAAACTTCCCGCATTTCATCCTGTTTTGATCAGTGGCAGCGTATCTTGCAAACTGAACCCCCATCTGTTGAGGTAGGGGCAAAAGCATCTTTATGCTCCACCATGATGTCAGGTGGCCCAGAAGCGGACTTCGGATATGTGGTAGTGCTTACTTATTGCAATACCAAAGCAAGCGTAGAGGGTCTGTCTATTCCGGATAGAGCTCATCTTAAGGTCAGAAGGGAATCCTTTCGTGTCTGTGAAGGACCCAGGCCGGAAATGAGCCATTTTAAGAAAGGGAAACACTCATGTCACTCCCAGGCACGGTAGGGGCCTCTTTCTAGTCTGGAAACGGCTTATCGTAACCTCAAAAAAGGCCTGTCTCAGGTCGAAAAAATCATCGTCATCATCATCAAATCATCGTTTGCTCAGAGAGGCCCCTCTCAAGTCAGGAAAGCGTCCGTCATAAGTTCAGAAGAGGCTCTCTCAAGTCAGGGGAGGACATGTGATGCTTGGAAGCTTAAAGTTTGCTAGTAATTTTGGGGTGATATGGAGTTTCCAGTCCTTAAAGCCTGGATTTTACCTTAGAGCATGACCTTCAGATATCACACTGACGGACGCTAGCTCTTGAACTTATGAATGTTTTGTTGTTTTCAAGCTTAAAATCTGCCGGCAATTTTGCGTGATACTGAGTTCCCCGTCTTCTGAACTCGCCTTTAAGGGTGGTTTTGAAAGGTCAAGACTTTGTGACGGACACTAGCTTTTGCGCTTATGAATGTTGAATCGTAGCCTCGTGTCGCATCGTAGTCGTAGTTCATGGTCTTACCGCGAGTGGCGCCACTGTCGGTCATTGCGAGTCAGTCGGCCCGGAGGCGCCGTGCCGCGCGGTTGTTGTTCCTACTTCGTAAATTGAACTCACGTTAACGTTAATAAAGAGTCTGGAGACAAAACAACCTGGCGACGAGGATGGGACTTTAAAGTAGGGACAGGTGCAAGTGACGCGCGGACCGGCAGGACGTGTGGGACTGCGAGGACTGGCAGGGCATGTGGAGCTGAGGACTGGCGGGACGTGTGGGACTGCGAAGACTGGCAGGGCACGTAGAGCTGAGGACTGGCAGGACGTGTGGAACTGCAAGGACTGGCAGGGCGCGTGGAGCCGATGGCAGCAGTGTTTGAAAACGCAGGTGATCAATCGACGGGCTTCGGGAGTTTTCTGACTCGGTCGACGGGACAGGGCAGTGTCGTGTCATCCATTTATTGTCACAGTGTGTCAGGGGCAGGACAGTGACGGGGTCCGATAGCCCTGGGACAGGCGCAGGGGCGTCAGTTGCCACAAAGGCTCCAGGACTGACACGTGGTTTTGCCGTAGCGGCGTGCCGCCATTTTGAACGTTAGTTCAGCGGGGGCCCGGCAGAGTCGCTGCGTCGTCGGGTCAACGACCTCCAGAAGCGCAGTTCGGCAGCTCACCGACAGAGGTGCTGTGATAGCCAGCGGAGGCGTGACTCGCAAGTCAGCACGGCATCAGCTGATCGGCCGGAGAGGAGTCGAGCCGGCTGGGCGGCCGGGCGCGAGCCAGCTGATCGGAGCGTGGGAAATGATTGAACGCCGTGCGCGAGACAGAACAGCTGATCGGACCGTGGGAAAACAGCTGAGATCGGAGCGCCGGATCGAACAGCTGATCGGGACGTGGTAAAGCTGAAGGGATGGCGCTGCCGGGAATGCATCTGCCCACGGTGGCACCCTACGATACAGGGGAGGACTTTGAAAGGTGGGTGAGAAGCATAGAGCGGTATTTGGTGGCCGTGAACATAACTGATACCATTCAGAAATGTGCAGTGCTTCTCCACCTGGTTGGGCCGGACGTCGCAGATCTCAGCGAGACGCTGCCGGACGAAGACGCGACGGGAGATAACTTTGAAAAACTTAAGGAGAAGCTCACGGCGTACCTGTCGCCGGTCAAAAGCGCTGTGACTGAGCGGGCTGCATACCACCGAATGGGAATGCAAGCGGGTGAGGAATTCGAACAGTTCCTCGGGCGACTCCGGATTCAAGCACAGAAATGCGGCTATACAGCGGCTGAGATGGACAGGGAACTCCGGGACCGGTGTGTCTGAAGCAGCCCCGGGCTGAGAGAAAAGCTACTGCAGGAGGCGGCGACCAAAGGAGACGGGCTGACGCTCGCGAACGTCCAGCAGACAGCGCGGGAGTACCGAGACATGCGTCAGCTGAGCGCCCAGCTGAGAGAGAGTCAGCCAGCAGTCACAGGAGTCGACTGTGAGGGGACGGCCGTGAACGCAGTGCGGCCGGACCGGCCACAACGGCCACAGCGAGGCCAGTGTTTCCGATGCGGATCCAGACAGCATTGGAAGAGGGACTGCCCGGTCGGGGTGCGGGAGTGTGGCGCTGCCGACCGGCCATCGTCCGGGGATAATGGACGGCGTGAGGAGCGGCGGCAGCAGGGACAGACCCGCCGTCCCCCGCCCGTCCGACGCTGTTTCCGGTGTGGGTCGGACGCCCACCTACAGCGCAACTGTCCACAGCGCCGCACAGTGGACCATGTGACTGAGACTGAAGGAGGTGTGCCACAGCGCCTCGAGGACATTCTCCTGCAAATCGACATCCCGAGCGAGAGGTATGGCCTGCCACTCATCACAGTGAGGATCAACGGTCAGGACATCACGATGATGATCGACACCGGCTCGCCGGTGACAATCGTCGGCAGAGATGTCAATATCCCGAGACTGCGCATGCGGGCATCGGAGCTACGTCTGCAGTCCTACACCGGTCAGACGGTGCCCCTCCGCGGAGAGGCAACGGTGGAGGTGGAACACGCAGGCCAGGCCCGGTCACTGCGACTGGTAATATGTGACCGACAGGGGAGCGCGCCGCTGCTGGACGAGACTGGCTGCGCCAGCTCCGACTGAACTGGCGAGCGGTTAGCATGGTTGGCCGGCCGGGGGACGCTGACGGGAGAAACACGCCGGAGTCGGGCGCGAAGACGACGCTGGAGTCGGTCGTCAAGGCGCACGAGACAGTGTTCACCGACGGACTGGGGAAGATGTCGATGAAGACCCATCTCACGCTGAAGCCTGACGCGCGTCCGGTGTACAGGAAGGCCAGGTCTGCGCCGTGCGCCCTCACGCCTCTAATTGACAAGGAATTAGAGCGCTGGATCACGGAGGGAGTCGCAGAGAAGGTTGACCCAGAACAGAGACCGTCAGGCTGGGGGACCGCGCTGGTCCCAGTACTGAACCCCAACGGTCAGGTCAGGCTGTGCGCAAACTACAGTCTGACAGTGAATCCACAGCTCGGGGTGGATCCGTACCCACTGCCTGCGCCAGAGGACCTATTCGCGAACACACGAGGTCGAGTGTCCGCAAAGCTGGACATCCGGCGGGCATACGAGCACATGGAGCTGGACGAGACGTCACGGGACCTTACCACAGTGACGACGCACCGCGGCTCATTCCGGATGATCCGTATGCCGTATGGCTTTGCCAGCTGCGGCTTCCTGTTCCAGTAGGCAATGGACAAGGTGCTGGAGGGACTGCCGGGCTGCGTGTGCTACATTGATGACGTTCTCATCGCAGCGGAAGACGAGGCAGAGCTGGTGACACGGCTGGGCCGGGTCCTGACTCGGCTGGAGCGTCACGGCCTCCGGCTAGAACGCTCAAAATGCACTCTCGGGACGAGCGAGGTGTCTTACCTGGGATGGCGGATCACCGCGAACAGCATCAGGCCGGAGGAAGACGGGGCAGCCGCGCTGCTGGAGGCGCCAGAACCACGTGACGTTCACCAGCTCAGATCCCTGTTGGGATCGGTGAACTAATACAGTAGTCTCCTGCCCGGGCTCGCGACAACGCGTTGCTGAAGCGCGGCTCGCCGTGGAACTGGACGCCAAGGTGTTCGGCTGCAGTAGATGAAGTAAAGCGGCTGCTGGCGAGCGGCCGCGTGTTGGTGCGGTATGACTCCGCCCTGCCACTCAAACTGGTAACAAACGCCAGCGCCACCGGAGTCGGCGCGGCTCTCATGCACCGCATGCCGGACGGCACAGAACGACCGATCATGTTCGCGTCGAGGACGCTGACACCGACAGAAAGACGTAACGCACAGGTTGAGTGGAAAGCCACCGCTGTGCAGTTCGGGCTTCTGAGGATTAGCAGGTTCCTGTTCGGCCAGAAGTTTACTCTCACCGTGGACAATCGGGCTCCGTCCCGGATGCTGAGTCCCGAGCGCGACCTCCCCGGTCTGACCGCGGCACGTCTGCAGCGGATCGCCACGGAACTGGCAGCATACCAGTACAGCGTAGAGCTACGCAGAACGGCAGACATGGCGCTCGCGGACAGTCTTTCGCGGGTGGCGCTGCCGTGCAGCGGAAACGAGCGGGCGGAGGCGGACAGAGACGTGGCGGGAGTCCACTTGTTCATGGACGGCGCGGGAGCGCCGCTGACAGCCCGCGAGATTGAAAACGTCACCCGGCGCGACCCGCTGCTGGCGAAGGTGCTTGTGTATATAAGACACGGATGGCCGACAGAAACGGAGCTGGAGTTGGAGTCGTTCCGACACCGGGAGGCGGAGCTGTCCACAGACCACGGCGTGGTACTGTGGGGAGGCAGAGCGGTAATACCCCAGAGGCTGCGGTCGCGAGTACTGCAGGAGCTGCACACCGGACACCTCGGCAGCGCCAAGATGAAAGGAGTGGCGCGCCGGTACGTGTGGTGGCCGGG